CCCAAGTCCTGGAGGATGAGGCAGGGGAGCCTTGAACCTGACTGGGGTCTCCAGCCTCGGGTCACCCTGGAGCAGATCTCTGCGTTCTGGAAAAGGGAAGGCAGGACCAGTGTCGGCTTCTGAATCCTCAGAGCCTGTAAGACTAGCCTCCCATCTCAGATGAGCTGAAAGGACTCAGCTGCAGCTTCAGGCCTGGACACCACTCTGGATGTTTCTCTAGGCCCTGCCTAGAGTCTAGGGACTTTTGTGTGGAAATTTCTATCTTTGGCACCTGGCTGGTGGGCAGGCTGAGAGTGGGGACAGCCTGTGCACTGTGGCTTGCACTAAAGTTCAGCTTTGGTTAAACTGTCCGGGTTGTGGGCCAGAAGGCTTCAAGATGGCATGTCAGGGTACAAATTTACCTAAGACACCATGTCATCATGAAGAGGTCCTGTGTAGGATGCTGAGCAACAGTGAGGAACAGATGATTATGTGTCAATCACGTGGGAATTCCTAAGACACCATGTCATCATGAAGAGGTCCTGTGTGGGATGCTGAGCAACAGTGAGGAACAGATGATTATGTGTCAATCACGTGGGCAGGAGATGGCAGGAATCTTGCTCTCCAGAGACACTGACCCTATCTGTGCCCGGACACTCTCACCGACCACTGTGAGGCCCTCCAGCAAAATAGAGACCAAGCCCAGGAGGAGTCTTTGACTGTATACAAACATTGGCTTTATCACATGGAGTTTGCTAAGCCAAGCTGGAGAGGCCGTCTCTTGACTGGAACTGGGCCATACTCAAAATGCATCAACAGGCTGCTCTGTCCATTGGCTTATGGCTGCACACATCCTAGAACACAGAGCTTTATTATTCGATGTTAAGGAAAGCCTGGGCTAAAAAGAACTAAATTCATTCCAATATGGAAATGAAGACTGTCGAAGAGAAGGAAAACTCCCCAAAGTCTGCCACCCATCCCCAGCTTGCTGGAGTGGCCCAAAGAAGCAGCTTTACTCCAAGACAGACTTACTTATAATGACCCATCCCATGGACACAGACCCCCAGATATCTGTGGACTCGAGGAGATAGCAGTAGGAGAGCAATGGAGTTTCCAGTCCCTGAAACTCTGAGCTCCCAAACTTCAGTCAAGAATATGAAGATTTTGCCATATTTGTTTACCTCTTGTATTTGCTTTATATTTTTACTTAAGTTGGTTCACTATTTGCTTAATAAATTTGTTTTAAAAAGGAACTTTGGGGGGTATGGCATCCATAAATGGAAAATCAGTATTACTTGACACAAGTAAAAAAATAGTATGAAAATCAACTAAGCATGCTGATGGGGGAAGTCCTTCTGTGTATATGTTTGTCTTATTGGTTAATAAATAAAGCACTGTTGGCCAATAGGAAAGCAAGAAAGGTAGGGCTAGGAGTTGAAGAAGAGGATTCTGGGAAATGTAGTAGAGACGGAGTCGCCATGTGATTCCGGGAAGGAGAGGATGCATGCCACCGGCATCCTCAATAAATCTTTATAAAATATATAGATTAATGGTCATGGTTGATAATTAAGACTGAGAAAGTCAGTAAGAAATCCTAGTCATTGGCCAGCAGCAGTGTACCTAATATAAGTCTCTGTGTGTTATTTAGGGGCAGCAGAACTCAGTCGGCTGGCGGAAAGAGTTATCCTTACAGTATGCTAGTGCAGGCCTTTAATCCCAGCACACAGGAAGCTGAGGCAGGTGGATCTCTTTGATTTCCAGACTAGCCAACTGCTACATTGAGACCTGACTCAAAAGAAAACAAAAGCATGAAAATAAATACAATGTAAACAATGAATTCCTAAGGAGACAGAGTTGCTTACTGGAGACGTTGACCTCAAATTCTGCTCCCAGTTAAAGGAAAAGAGGATGAGCTGGAGGTGGTGGCACATGCCAGAAATTCCAGCACTCTGGAGGCTAAGACAGGAAGATCCCCAGTTCAAGGTCAGGCTAGGCTACTTAGTAAGCTCCTGTCTCAAAGAAAGAAAGGAAGGACAAGAGGGAGGGACAGAGGACAGAAGGGAGGGGAGGGGTTCTCGCTGTGCCTCTGACTCATGAGCTGGGGGAACAGTCATTTCTCATTCGCCATCAGCTAACAGGACTGAATTTTGGGTTCTGCCTGTGATGTGTAAACAGAAGGTACAGGGTTTAGAACTTGCCCATGTGCATTGCAAGAACCCAGAAGAGGCATCTCGGTATAGAGGTCAAATCCAGGTAGGGCTCCTGGATCCTGACCTGACCTTTTATCATCTACTTGGAGACTTTAGAAAAAGTGCTGTGGATTTTTTGTTTTTTTGTTTTGTTTTTGTTTTTTGTTTTTGTTTTTGTTTTTGGTCTCATACTCTATCTGTACAATAAGAGAGTCCAGAGGTAGACAGGAGCTTTGCTGGGAATTCCCAGTTGTGAAGCTGGAGGGGAAGGTCCTATAAATGAAGGGCGGCTGAATGGAAGGATGGATAATCGGATGGAAGGAAAGAGGAGTGGATAAATGGAAAGATGGGTGGGTGGGTGGATAGCTGGATGGGTGGGTGGAAGGAAGGATGGATGGATGGGTGAATACAGAGCAGAATGTGTCTTAGTTGGGGTTTCAGTTGCTGTGATAAAACACCGTGACTGAAAAGCAGCTTGGGATGGAAAGGTGGGCTTGTTTTGCTTACACCTCCAGATCACTGTTTCATCATCAAAGGAAGCCAGGGAAGGAACTCAAACAGGGCAGGAACCTGGTGGCAGGAGTTGATGCAAAGGCCAAGGCAAAAGCTGCTCCCCATGGCTTAACCAACCTGCTTTCTTATAGCACCTAGGACTGCCTATCCAGGGCTGGCCCCACCCACAAAGGGCTGGGCTCTGCCCACACCAATCACTTACTAAGAAAAGAACCACAAGCAGGGTGGTGGTGGCGCACGCCTTTAATCCCAGCATTTGGGAGGCAGAGGCAGGAAGAGCTCTGGGTTCGAGGCCAGCCTGGGCTACACAGAGAAACCCTGTCTCAAAAAACAAACAGAAAGAAACTGGAAACTGATCAATAGATTAAAACCTGCAGCTCTGAGACCAGGCATGTCCCTGTGTCAGCAGTTCCAGTTAGCCAAGCTAGTCACCAGGCTGGGCGGAGGGGACAGCTTGAACGTTTGAGTTGAAGTCTAGTTTGAGCAGGATAATGAAATTCCTTCTCAAAGGAGAAAAAAAACTATGAACTGGAAGAATTTTCCTTCAAGAAGACAGAGGAATTGTGTTAGCACTTTCTTTGTTTTCACCACTTTGAGTGTAGATTTACTAAATAAAAGTGAGAACTCCCAAGAGTGGGGGAGGTCCCAGGGGAGGAATACCAGTTTGGTATATTTTTAAAATTAATTTCTTTTTCAGATTTATCTATTTTATTTTTTGTATGAGAGTTTTGCCTGTATCTATGTATCTGCACCACATGTGTGCCTACAGTTGGTTGTGAGCCACCGTGTGGATACTGAGAACTAAACCTGATTTCTCTGCAAGAACAGAAAGTGCTCTTATTTGCTGGGCTATCTCTCTAGCCCTTGTTTGCTTTTTAATACAATGCTGTGTAGTCCAGGCTGGCCTTTACCTACCAATCCCCCTGCCTCATTCTCCCAAATGTTGGCGTTACAGGCACACATGTAACCTGTGGAGGCCAAAAGTTTATGTAAACTATTTTCCTAGATCGCTCTCCATATTATTCAACACCCCACACACTCATACATACATCATGTATGTGAAGGTCACAGGACAGCTCACAGGAGCTGGTTATCTCTTTCCACCCTGTAAATCCTTGAAACTGAACTACGGGATCAGGGCTGGCAGCAGGTGCCTTTGCCCACTGATCCACCTCATTGGTCCACTTTATTTTTTTTTAAGTTTTATTTTATGTGTATGGGTGTTCTACCTGCATGTATGCCTGTGTGCCACCTATGTTTAGTGCCCAAGGAGGCTAGAAGAGGGTGTCACATCCCCTAGGACTCAAGTTGGGGATATTGTGACCCACCATCTAGGTGCTAGAAATGGGACCTGGGTCCCCTGGAGGAGCACCCAGTGCTCTTGATCACTGAGTCATCGTCACTTTAGTCCAACCTTTGGCATTTGAGCATGCTGAGTTCACAGTCTTCCTGTCATCTTTCTCACTGAGGCATCTCTCTAGCCTGCCATTAGATGTGTTGACCCCCATCTTGAGACGTTCTCTTCCCTTAGCCTCTGTGATCTATGGTGCCTGTCCCTCCCTCTACCCCCACCCCATGTCTGCTTTCTTAGAGACTCACCTTGAATAGCCCTTCTCTGACTCTGAACACTCGTCCTGGGCAATTTCACCCATGGCTTCAACTTCAGCCGCCTCTTGCCTGAGTGACCCCAGACTCCCTACCTCCAGCTGCGGCAGATATAGCCCCTCTAAATCTATTCTCCCATTATCCTGCAGAAACAATAGTACAGGTTGTAACGGGCTTCATGGTCACCCGAAAGAAAGGCCCTGCTTCCCAGAATCTATTGCAGCTAAGAACGGCCATATAACTGTGCTAGAATCCAGACATGGTGTGAAATATCACAGATGAGGGCAGTATCTCGGGGACAGCTGAACACTTACAGAGAAAGACCTGGAGGGCCTGTGGACATCACAGCAGGCCTGAATTGCCTGCTTAGTGATATTGCACATTAAAAACTACTGTTTTGTTTTTAGATAAATGACTGCCACTGTGGGTTTTTTAACCTGAAGCAGAACCCGTGCCTCCACTAAAATGCTTCATGTTCCCGCAGCCACTTTCCCTTCCACGAGTGACCATACCCTCGGGTCTCTCTCAGACTCAAGAGCCACCTAGCTACACCTAGTTATTCCCTCACAATTATCTCAGGTGCACTGCTATTCCCACACACACTCAGGGAAGCTTCCTTCATGCCCCACCCACCAGCCCAACCATTCCGGCTAGCCCATATTCCACCTACTTCCTTCCCTACCAGCCCCCTGGTCTCCTTCCTGTCTCCTTCCATTTTTCACATTGAATCTTGCCTTAGTCTCTTGTCTTATTGCTGTCACAAAATTCCAGACAGAAGCTACTTAAGAAAGGGTTCATTTTGGCTCCAAATTTGAGGGTTCCCTCCATGGAAGGGAAAGTGTGGCCTCAGGAGGTGAAGCAACTGCTCACATTCAAACCATAATCAGTGTAGTTGTTTGAATGAGAACCCCCCTCCCCCGTGCCGTGGGCTCACTTTTTAAATGTTTTGTTCCTAGGAAGTGGACTGTTTAGGAAGGATTCAGAAGTGTGGCCTTGTTGGAGGAAGTGTGTCACTGGGGATGGGTGATAAGATTTCAAAAGCCCATGCCATCCCCAGTTTCTCTCTCTCTCTCTCTCTCTCTCTCTCTCTCTCTCTCTCTCTCTCTTTCTCTTGTCGTTTGTTTTCTTGGGGGTGGGTGTTTGGTTTCCCTCCCTCCCTCCCTCTCTCTCCAGTTTTTAGATCAGAGGTCAGCTC